AGCATTGTAAAGCCTATGCATAGTCATCTGCTTGGGTCTAGCTGCAAGTAAGACAGGCAGGAGAAACTTGGTTAGGATGTTGACGAAAACAGTCCAACTGTCTTAATTTTGTTGATTGGGTAACAGCTGGTTTGTGAAAAACAAGGTTTCTTCTTTTGTAGAAAGATTATCTTTACTGACATGTGGCCTGATGTCTTGGAAAAAAGTTCAGTTCTGTTTGCAGTCATATGGTTGGTAAAGTCAAAAACTGCCATGTGTTTTGGAGAGAGAAGGGCTGAGCTAGTGAGTTAACAAGTGAAATGAGTTGGGTAGTATCTTTATAAAACCATGAAATTACAGTTTGTGATTGGTTAAGATATTATCAGGTATAATCCTGACGTGCACCCTACACTGGTTGATCACCTGCTGGATGATGGACAGTGACCTGTGATCTATTGTGTTGGGCAGAAGGGGAAAAAGCAAATTGAGGGGAGCCAGATTGCATCATATTATACATCATTGTGCATTTCAAAATAAACACAGATTTACAATGTCCTCGTCTGTATTCCAGACCTGGAAGATGTTTCATATCATTTGGGCTGCTTTTAGACATCCCTGTGCTTTATACAGAGGCTCAAGCTCCTTTTTCAAGGCAACAGAAAGGTTGTTAGAAATCCTTATTCTAAGTGTAACAACACGCCTTGCCGCTACAGTGCTTAAAGCAAAATGCAATGAAAAACGGTGCTCAGAGTCTCAGACAATAAGAGCAGAGCATGATACATATGTTTACTGTACGTCTAAGAAAATACAGAAAGGAGAAAAAGAGAGCACAGCCAGAAATCACAGAGGTGCTGTCCAGTACAACTTCACTGAAAATAATAATCAGCTAGATGCACGCTCTCTCCACTTCAAACTAGATTTTATGTTACATTTTATTTGTCAACAGTTCAGCAAACAAGTCTTCATCAGGTATGTCCTCTTTTTACTGTAGGGCTGGTTCTCATTGAAAAAAACGTTTCAAGCACCACAGGAGGAGCCACAGTTTAGCCCACCCTGGCAGATGCTCTTCCCCTCAGTCTCCCATGGCTGATAGACTGGGGAACTAGAGGCAGGCAGTGATTAATCTATGCAAGCTCCAATGGAATGCATGGGTGCATAGTCAAATTTTATGTATTTCTTCTCTACCTATAATTTAAAAATAAACTCCTTTCTGTATAAAATGGATTTTTAATTATATTCCAGGGTAAAAATATCAGTAATGTCATTACCAGTACCCCACTGAAGCCCTCACATGTTGCTCATGTGTGAGAAATGCACTCCAGGGAATGCATCTCCATTGAAGCCAGTCTATAATTACTGCTATTAGCGCTGATCCCCACAGAAATTCTTTCTGTGGAACGCATCCTAAGCAAGGTACCGCCGTTCTTAATTTTATAGGGTTTCTGCTCCACCTTGAGCTTTGGGTTTTTAAGTTCAATTTGTCATTGCAGAGAGACTGAAGGTTGAATACAAATACTGTTCAAGATTGGACCATACTCTCATCATCCATCAGATTTTAGTCCAAACTGTCATCCATCAGCATCGCACGCTATTATAACTATATGATGGTCAGTTGTTCAATATTTTGTAACATCATTCAGGCAGTGTCATATAAAATGGTTTGTCTGAATTGCCCATAATGTGTCTTAGCCCTAATACATTGGGCAGCTCTGTGGCTTGACACTTGTTTTAAAAATATCTATTAGTACCTTTAAAATAAATACAGTACTGAAAGTAGAATGAGTTGTTTTTGAGGGTGTATAATGAGACAAGAGTCTTTTCAAAACTAACATTATACAAGCATTAAGAACAGAGGATGAGACAGATAAAACAAGTCTGTAGAAAAGGTTTTCAGCCTTTAAGAAACAGGCTCAGCAAGACAAGAAAATTGTACGCTATTCAAAAAGTGAAAAGAAAATGGCTTCAAATGCTGTCCCTGTCACTGACACTATAGTTTTAAGAAAAAATGGTAAAGGTGTGGAGGCATGTCACAAAGTTTAGGCAGATGTATGCTTTAAAGCAGTGAGGTGTGCAGTTTTTAAAAGATATGAAGGCCCTGTAATGCATTTACAAAGGTAAATATGTGTTCAAAAAGCTAAATGCCATTTAAATGTTGTCATCAGATGTCGTGAGAAAAAGGGCTAAGTATGAACTAAAGCATTTGAAATACTACTGTATTCATTTTAAGGAAACACATCACTTACTTCTGACCACACCGATGAAGGAGAGCTGTTTCATTCAATACATCATAAGCATTTGACTAATCGAGCGGTACAATTGATAAAAAAGGAGTAGTGTTATGTATGAAAAAATGAGCTTATCTACCCAGAAGCGTGTTATATTTTTTTAATGTCTTAGCATTATAATCAGTTCAAAGCAAACATTTTCATCATCCTACATCTTCCCATTTACTTTATAAGATGATGTGGAAGGTCTTAAGAACTAAATGGGAAGGTAAAGGATGATAAAGAGTTTGAATAAGCAGTTGTGTGCCCTTAGTCCCAGTTTCCACCCTTCGTTTCCAGGACAGGTTCCAGTTTGCCACAACCTTCACTAAGATAAGCTGTGTGCTGATAACGGGTTGATGGAGTTCACTGCAGGATTTAGGTGGTCCAAGAGGACAGTGTATTATATTCTGTTTAATAGACTGCAGAACACAGGAATACTAAATTATGTCATGATGTCAACCTTATCTATTGAATGCCTGTATAATATTTTTCAGCTGAAGCACTTCTGAGAAATGATAACCCTGTAAAATGTGAATTAAAAATCACTGAAGGAGTGCTGCTTTAATGGTGCTGGATGACTGTTTAAAACCATAAGCAGTGTTGCATGAGGTAGATGAAACATCAACAAAATAAACAAGCATGTCACTGAGGAGGCTGTAGTGCTTAATGGTGAGAATAGGAATGTATCGGTTTGCATACCGCCATCCTTTCTGACTAGGGAGATAAGGCTTATTTTAAACAATCTGCTTTTGGCAAGAAAAAAAGTTCAATGGTTGCTTTTGTGACCTGCAGTGCAGTGGGTTGTGAACTCAATCTTTCTGATGTTTTTTTTTATTTTTATTGTCAGATTACAGCCTTTCTGGCTCTGTTAAGTACTTTTCACAATACCTCTTTGCTAGTTTCCCAACTGCTCTCTTCAGAAAAGAATACACAGTAGTGTATAGTAGTTCTGAATCCTGGATTGAACTATCTTATAGCTTATAGCTTATAGCTTTGTCTGTTTCTGTATTTGTTTAAGCTGTTTCTTTTTCATTGCGTTCTGGAAGTTAATTTTTATTATGTATTTGTAGCTTCTTAGAGATGGAAGGTATAGGACTGTAGGTGACTGCTTGAAACTGGACGGTAAAACTGAGATGAAGATAGATGAATGGTAGAGTTTCTTATTTTCAAAGTTTCCATGGCAAAGAATAATTGAACTATCTTTTCTATTAGAAGTAGCTAACAGCTAATGATATTAAATTACATTAAAACATGAGAGCACTGAATCGTCATTATTTGGAAATGTCATTTGTTATAATGGCGTACTAGTTTTTGTCAAGTCCATTCCAAAACCTTTATTAAATCACAATGATCTGTATAAATGACTGTAAGTCCCTTTACATTTTTTCCAGTACATTATTGTGTTAGAAGATAAGCAAAACAGTCCGTTATTACTCGTGTTGAGCGTCAGGTGTTTTCATTTCAAAACTGTTGTGTTGACATACTGTAGATCAGTCAGAGGTAAGGTTTCTTGTCTTTTTAATCCTAACATTAATTTATAAATTTATATGTTAATTAATTTATAAGTAATATATGTTAAAATTACAACAGACTTTGAAATGACTTGAAAAACCTGTGCATTTAGATGGCGTGTGATCATTCACACTGAATAAAAATTAATTGATAGTTTCTCTTTTGCTTTATTTATGTATTCCGTTATCACAAGGTGAGCACAAGAGCATACAGTATATTCATTATACGCATTCATTTCTGTAAGTGCCTCTTGCTTTGACCTGTGTCACTCTCTCATGGTGCTCTTGAAAAACAGTTCTGACATCTCAAGGAGGTTTATCTCCTGATGAAATTATAGTAAATACATTTACCATAATGTATTTAATATTTAATCCCCTGTGATGGAAGTGGCATAACTCTGGGTCACTTTGTCTCTGAAGCAGAGTTTTAGGGGTGACCACAACATGGAAGATAGACAAAGATTAAAATTCTTATGATGAATCAGGAAAGCTGGGAGACTGGATTTATGAAAGAAGGTATATCTAAAATATTATCCTTTAGTGGGGTGTGGGTCACTCCTGAGCCCTGAATTAAGCATGTGATGGAATGCATCCTCACTGAATACATTATTAATGGGAAATAAATAAGATGACATTAAATGTGGAATCCATGCAAGGTTGTACTGATAAAAAAAAAATCTTTATTGTACTTCTGAAGGCACAACATCCATTTGTATTTACGATCTTGCTAATACTGGTGGATCATTCATCTAGCTACAGTATGTCTGAGCCCAATGTCGCATTACAACTGGTTTTAATGCTAGATACAAAAAAAGGTTTAGATGCTTCAGGCTATGCAGACCCCAGGAGAGGTGTAAATATAATCTGTTGATTTGGCCCGAAGTAAACAGAGGATTCTTTTATAGCATGCATTAATCCAAGAGAAGACTCTTGCATGGATGAAAACTGAAGAACTTTTTCTGTCTTGAGGCACGGCCCTGGATTAGACAAGTCCCCTTCCCTTTGTGTTACAGTGCAATTAACTCCATCCATCCAATCTCAGCTCTTGAAAAGACTTATTTTGAAATTTCTGTTCACAGGACCTTCAATATATAGGAGTCTTCAATATTCTATAACTGGTTACAAACCAAAAGACAGAAGTCAGAACAAAGAAAGGCAATGTGGTTGTTTTCTTTGTCACCCGAGAACGGAAAATGAAAGTAATTTCCCCCTCTGTTGTGCATTTTATTTTTCTCTGAGGCAGATATTGATGAATGTGCTGAGGGGCTGATTCAGTGTCACAACCACTCGCGCTGTGTTAACCTTCCTGGCTGGTTCCACTGTGAATGCAGGAGCGGTTTCCATGACAATGGGTCCTACTCACTTGATGGGGGGTCCTGCGTTGGTAAGCAATTAAGAGTTGAAATGTTGTACTCTTTAATATATCATGTCTATTAATAAACCACTGGAATCATGAGTGCCTCTTAGTCTAATACCCAATTAGTGCACTGGATTTTGGTCAGATTCTGCAGACAAAGGCAATAAATTGAAGCCATTAGTGTGATGTTTGTGTGTTATCTAGCATTCCACATCCATCTTCATGCAACTTTGTTGCTAATCCCCCCATCTCCTACCAAGTCATTCATTATCCCTAATCAGTGGTCTTAGAGTAATGAGGAACTTTAACTTGCCACACTGGATCATAATCATCAATTTGTATGTTATTTTGTTCTGCTTTCAGCACCATTAATTCAGAGGGACTTGTCCTCCATCTGCTATTATGCCGGAAAGACAAAATGGCAATAAGACAAAACAGTCTGCACATCGCATGTAATGAACAGCTAAGACTTAAAAAAAATGTAGTGCAATAACTTATATGCCCATAATCACATTTTTATATTTATTAATCAGCTCAGCGCAAGCATATGAAAAAATACAAAAGCCAAGCTAGATTTAAAATCAGTACATATATATATATATGAGCTCTATAAGAAAATGGTAATTCATGTTCCTATTCACAGTAAAAAAGATCTGATTTAAAGATTTAGGCAAAACCTTATTTGGATTTTTCTGCAAAGAATGCTAACATTCCCCATTCCATATTTTACAGAGATACAGGGGTGGCGAGAGAAAGCATTTGTGTTTTGTTGAATTGATAGCTGCACCACGCATTTAGCCTTATCTCCATCTCTGTAGTGTCAGTTTAATTTCAAAATGCATTACTACCAGCACAGCCTCATACGGCCATCTTTCATTCTTTGCTGATAAACATAAAGCTTGTGGATTTGGAGGTATTCAGAGTAATATCACCCCTGAAGCCGAAGCGGTGCTTCTCAGCATGCCAAGGCGATGACCTAGCTAGTAGATGTGCAGTGCATCAGCCTGGACAACCAGCTCTGAAAACCCAGCTTAGCAACCAAACCTGTGCATATGTGACCTTGCGAATGTGCTGTTCACCTCTTATGTACATGTCCTCATCCAGCGTTAAACCCAGGATTAGGCTGTAGATTTGTAAATGTATAGATGTAGATGTGAAGAAATGTATGACTGGGGATTGCCCTAGGGGCTTGAATGCCATTGGGCAGGCTGCATTGTAATCTCTTAACTGTGTCTTGCAGTGACACCAGGCCATATTTCAGGAAAATGTAGGTGATCCAACAGACACTGGTCCTTAGTATCCAGTATAGCCATCTACAGTGTGTCTTACAGGTGTTATAATAGAACTGTTGTGTTGGTTAGAATTATAATATACAGAGAAAGATTTTGATTTAGATTGTAAAGCAATACTTTGACAAAGTTTTGGGTCCTCTCTAAAATGTTATTCAAATCCATAAAAGCATCTGGCCTCCTTATGAAAGTTGCTTTCTTGTGCTTGCATTATTTGCTTGTATTCCATTTTAGTTTTCCAAACACGTACAAATGCGTAGGTAATAAAGTCCTCCTCTCATAAATGTACCGTACCTGTCATTAGAAGGTGCATGTTTGTAAGTGACAGAACTGAAAACACAGATATCTAATTAAATACTATCGCAGCAAGCTGACATGTTTTGACAGCCTTAGGAATTACATATCTTGTTGACAACCATGTGTACATATATGCTAATCAGAGGTCAAGTCAGATCTAAATTCAGCCATTTCCCAACATGTAAATAAATGGTATCACAGCCATAAAGGGAATTCACAATTAAATAAGAAAGCCCTAAAAAAACTCTAATTTGTTTGCAAACAAGAAAACCAAGTCCCTAATCTCTGTTAAATTTGCATATTCACTTTATAAAAGCAGAATATGGTTCTCTTTGATTGATATAGAAGATTTATGGATCTACTGTACCACTACAGCAGTGAAGGTGATTATAGTATGCCTTTTTTAGGACAAAAGACTTACAAAAAAAGAAATGCACGTTCTGATCCACAGTAGATGATGACCCTTTGGCAATGTTAAACTGAACAACATACTGTAGGGTCATTTTATTCACTGTGTCCCAGATTGTGATAAACCCAATCCATGGATAGATGGAGATGACTTTGGTCTCCAGCAGCTACAATGTCTTGAGCATTTCATCATAAGGATAAAATAAACACATACAAAAACTGCTCTAGGTCAACACACTTTCATTGTCAGTATGAAGATGGGTTTTTGAGATGTGGTCGATTGGGAGTGAATCCTGAGGGGGAACAGTTATTTGTAGCTGCTAAATGGAGAGATGAAGATTTAAAAAAAACAATACTTTTATTAATCTTTTAAATTGAGCAAAAAATATAAAATTACATCTCATAAAATATTTTATAGCAGAACAAATATCGGGAACATTCACAAAAAAGAGTATATGACTCAGTCAGTAAATGATTAAAATACTTATTAATGTAAAATATTAGAAAACCAATATCTGCTCTGTGAAGGCACCAATAATAAACTTACACAGAAATCTGCTGAAATGGGCCCAGCTCTCCTGTAACTAAATCCATCCAGCATTGCAGACCCAGACACTGATTAGGATCCAGTAAACTAGAACTTATGTTTGTTGCAGAAAGAAGGAGTGAGAACACTTAGAGTTAGGACTGCCAGTCTAATCTAGCCACCATGTCATTTTGAAGGTGGGAGTGAAGAGGGGCACCCACTGTAAGCCCACACAACCTCCAAAAAAACAAACTCCGGACAGCTCTAAAGCATTGGGTCTGAGATGGGACAGGCAGATATACTGATAGTATTTTACCTTTAGGAAAAATATTCTTTAAGAAAGGGTTTATTTGTATACCACATATCCATTAAGTCTTTAAAATTAAAATGCTGTGCATACTGGTTGAATTTATATGTAGTAGTGTGATTGAGAAATGTAGTGCATATTGCTGTTGTCAGGTGTACACATTGTTTATGTAATGCACAGTGAGGATTTCATTTCTATTGAAATAAGTATGTTTCTGTTTTTCTTATTTGTCATCAGCTGGTAATATATATCAGGAAAAATAATGTTTGAAGAATCATTTTGACTGCCATTTCCTGTATCCCATGTTGAATTTTTCTAGGGTGTAGTTGCTACATGCATGTAGCAACTACACCCTAGAAAAATTCAACTACATGCATGTCCAGACCCTGAATTATAAACTCCCACAAGCCTGAGACACATCACACAAATGAGCATCAAAACACCACCTTGGAAACTGGGGCCTGAAGGATCTGGAAGTGATTGCAAACCAAAAAACTGTGAAAAGCTTTATACACAATTTGAGCCCTATTGCTTTTTAGAAGCTGCAGCGATTCATAGACCATTAAACTGTTTTATCAAAGTCAAAGCACTGATATAGCAGGTGCAGTTAGACCCTGGATTCAAACAATCTCCAGGCTAGTAACTTGCAGAGTAAAAAAAATTAAAATTCAAGGGAGTGTTGTTGCTGTAACAGGTTTGTAATTCTAGATTCACAACTAGAGTATGGAAAGCTTTCAAAGTAATAAATGCAGAGCACTGCACTTTTAGTTGTAAATTAAAAAATATTCTTAACAGTGTTAATCACTATACCTAACCAGATAAACATTTATAAAATGCAGACCACATATGTTGAGGTCAACACAGAACTGAATTCTGCTTGTTCCAATGTAGTGCATACATTTTAATTTAAATTCCTGTAATAGTGTACATATTTATACTTATTATTGAAAACCAATTATTATGGTTTATGACTTTCTAACTTGACATTTTGTATTGCCTGTTTTGCTTCGGCCATTGCTGTATTTGTATTTGTACCTATACAGTAATAAGAAATTTTGCTGTATGTGGAGTAGTTGGTATGCAAAATATAACTTGGTGACATTGAATCAGAATGCCCCCTGCCATCTGTGGCTCAACCAATTGTTCCCTGTTTCATAATATTGTGCAGTACATTTCCTTTACACTCATGGACATTTATTATACAAGAGGTATGCAAATGTGCTTTAGTATGTGGTATATTAATAAACAGTTTGTGTGTAAAGATTATGATAATAAGACGCAAATACACATTACTGCATATGCACTTTCATTTCACTATACATAACCTTTCCATATGGGCTGCCTAAGGATATTAAAATGAAATGCAGTTGGCATTTTGTAATACACAACTGCTTGATTCCTGGTAAGACTCTGTAATTACTAACATCTGTTTTTCCTGAATAAATTGCTGGAAATGCATGGCAGTTTTTAGTCTATGACGGGCTAGAGGGCGTAATGGCACTCTGTTAAATATGACATGAAGACCTATTAATCAATGGTGAATTGTATATGAAGGTATGTCTCTCATCCAGACAAATATTTCATTTAGTTTATGCAAATAGCCAGTGTCACTTTTTAAAATAAATGATCTGAGCCATGTTTGTGAGTTAATGCAGAAGGTAATTAGAATTTACATTTTGTACTTTTGCCGAATGTCCATATCAGAGTAAAAATGCATTTTTGTTGCCAGGCATTGTTTTAGCAAAAATAAGTATGCTCATATAGCTTTAAGATGTATGGTGTTTTCAAAGAAAATACTGATTAAGGTTAAAAACTATTTAATTTACCTTCTTTAAATGTTATTTAATTATCTCCATTAACACCAAAATATCTCTAAATTAATTGTCTTTAGTGTTTAAAAGAACTTCTCTTAAATTAAAGTCATGGGTTGAACTTTAATTTATCATAAACACTCATGATAGCTAATCTAAAAGTTAGTATATAAACTATTTAAAGTGTGTTTTTTTTCCATTTTAGAAGTATAACATCTTTAGAGTTTCTAATAAAACCTCAAGCTATAGTTTTGTTAATTAAGCTAGAAGAAAAAAAGTTTTCTAGGTAAGATTAGTTTTTCTTGCTGAAATCCTGTTTCCTTTAAATCTAATTTCAACACCAAATATTAGTCATCAGCTTTCTCCAAGTCATCAGAATGGAAATTTGGGTTCAAGTGCTGTATTACCCTTGGCAGTCACTCTTGCCGAAAATTAAATATAGCTTATTATATTATTTATTGGTGTTACAAGATGAAAAGGCAAACCCTGCCAGCCATGTTTATCTAATATTGAAAAATATATAATTTCCATAGACTTCATTATTGCTTCCTGTTTGGGTGGCATGGTAGCACAGTGTTTAGCATTGGTCGGGGGACCTGGGTTCAATTTCAGACCTGGGGTGCTATTTGCGTGAAATTTTTATGATCTGTGGGTTTCCTCTGGGTGCTCCAGTTTCCTCCCACAGTCCAGTGAACACTATTAGGTTAATTGACTTCTGTGAAAATTGGTCCTTGTGTAAGTATGAGCATGAGCATGTTTGTGTCTGTGTGTTCCCTGCAATGGACTGGTGTCCTGTCTAGGGTCTGCTCTGCCATATGCCTGTTGCTTGCTGGGATAGGCACTGTCAATGAGGCTGGTTAGAAAGTGGATGGGTGCATGGATGCTTGTTTTCTGTTTAAGGTTCTTTGAGGGTTTATTTAAGTTCTGTGGATTGAAGATCTTTCTATTTCTCTGTGGTGTACAAAAGAGGGGAAAAAAGAACACAGGACATTTTCAGTCCTTACACCTGAATGTTTGAATGAGGCACTGAAGTCTCCTAATAACCACAGTTATTACATGACCTGGATGGAGGTTCAATTTGTTTTTTGTTTTTCTTGTGCCTTTAAAAAGTAAAAGGAAACTGAAGTAGTTCTCGGTCTTGGTTGCAGACATTGATGAATGTGCGACAAGAACTCACACCTGCTGGAATGACTCAGCCTGTGTGAACCTGCTGGGCAGCTATGACTGCCTGTGTCCTTCTGGTCCGTCGTGTACTGGGGACTGCCCCCATGAAGGAGGGCTGAAGAGAAACGGTCAAGTCTGGACTCTCAAGGAAGACAGGTGCTCTGTGTGCTCTTGCAAGGTACGGTATGTTTTATTTGCCATGAACCAGAGTCTTTTGAGTACATTGTACTCGGTACTGATCAATCACCTTTGTCTACCAAATTTCCCATTGTCCATTATCAATCATGGCCTCCTAATAATCCCCATCTATGAATTGGCTACATTACCCTGCTCTCCCCCCCACATATAGCTGATGTGTGGTGAGCGTACTGGTGCACTATGGCTGCCGTCGCATCATCCAGGTGGGGCTGCACACTGGTGGTGGTGGAGGGGATCCCCATTACCTGTTAAGCGCTTTGAGTGGAGTGTCCAGAAAAGCGCTATATAAGTGTAAACTATTATTATTATTTATTACTACTGGTAGATATAAATTTGTATTTTATGTATACAAAAACAATGCAAAATTTTATTTCAATGAAAATGATCTGGTTGCATATTAGCACACATGGACTAGAATCCTGGTAAACGCTCACTTGGCTTGATGTGATTGGCCGGAGGACCTCCGATTTTATTTGGTCTTTTATTTAACCATAGTATGTTAAATTCAAGACGATACAATTTGCCACTATTTTGGGGATTATATTTCCACTGTCATTGTAGCATAAATAGATTTGATGAAAGAAGACAGGTATTAATCCATTTTAGTCTGCTCTAGTTTCTGTTCTCTTGTTCTTATAGATTTACGTGTTGCAAGTTAAACATGAAAATTAATAGTGATACTATACTGTACCACTTGGCTGTGGAAATGTAACAATTAGGCTTCCAGACACCAAGAAGGTGGGGTATGATACAAATAATTCCTGTAAATTGCCATCTGATGACATTCATATTGAGTGTTATCGGCTCTGAATCAAGAAGAATGATTCTGCTGACATTAAAATCTGCAAGTGCATGTTCTGTGTGGGTAAGCTGTTCTTTGATCACTGTGGAAGTTCAGATCAAGCAGTGTGTGCTGTAAATTGTGAAATTCCTATGGGAGCGAGGAGTCAATATTTTACATCGTATTTAACCTCTACTTTGGTTCAAAGGGTCAACATATAATGTTACAAGACAATGTAAACAGGTAGTGTTTGGCTTCTGAAAGGTATGAGGTCAAAAAAACTTTATTTGACGAAGAAAAAGTCATTTTTGTGAGCATTTAGGTACAAAAGAAGAAATATATACAATGTATTTTCTTTCAAATCTTTGCAGGTGTGAAACTATTAATCATTTATACTCATTACATTTTGGTGGTTACCACATTAACAAAAGTTCAGTCACACTAACAGTTTTCAAGAGATGCTCGCTCAACATATCTTTTGTTTTCATTTAAGATTTTATGACAGTCATTGCAATTTTTTTTAATAAGCTGATAAATGTGCCCTTTTATTTATTACTTTATTTTAAATTAATCAGTTTATTGCTGAGGTGCAGTTCTTCAGTTTAAATTGTGATTCCTGATATTTGGATATTTCACCTTTTAGCTGACAGCTGGATTTTTTATTACTCTGTAATTTCTTTCGCTTACATTGTTTTGAGTTTGTGGCCTCAAGGGGAGTTATTTTAGAATGCTGTAATTATGCCCATTATAACATCAAGTTTGTTATTTCTGAACCAAGCCCTTCCAGCAAGTGGAATAAATGTCAGTATGTTTACTAGGCGTAACCCTCCATTTTTGCAGCGCCTTTTTCAAATAATTATTTCAAAATCTGAAAAATCAGACATGCGTCAAAAAAATTATACACAAAACATTTTGCTAAGATGGCTTCTTTTTATGTCAGGATGGGAAAATCTTCTGCAGGAGAACAGCGTGTGACTGCCAAAACCCCAATGTTGATCTGTACTGCTGCCCAGAATGCGACTCCAGAGTAACCAGCCAGTGTTTACACCAAAGTGGGCACACAGTCTATCGAAGTGGAGACAACTGGACCTACAGCTGCCAGCAGTGCAGATGTCTGGTTCGTTCCTTGTATTTTCATTACTCTAAATGGAAGAGTCAGTATCTAATACCCTCCTCATTTATATCATACCATTTGTTAAAAAGAAATTGTTATATACTAAAACAGTATATTATGATATAACAAACCTTAGTGCCTCATCTTATGGCTGCAATTCCTTTACAGCATGGAGAGAGAAACAGTCTGCAGGAATACTCCTCTGACAGCCACCTGTCAGAGCATTTCATCTGTTGACACAAAGGAACAAGTAAAGGTTAATTTCACACTTGAAAACTGGAAAGGAGAAACAACATGATGGCTGTTTTGCCTTCTTAGGTGGTTTTTCTCATTTCTGTTTTTCAGCAAGGAATTAACCTTTACTTACTCCTTTGTAGTCAACAGGTGGGCAGCTGCGTCAGTGACTTGACACACTACTAGTCATAAAAGATTGTGGAGGCAGCATATCTCTTAGTGACATCACTGAGCCTGCAGACACCAGGCTTGCCTTGAGAGAGGCAGTTTTACCAAAAGCCGAGATGCCTGCCCTGCCAATTCTGTGTTCCCACATTTGGGAATAGCAGTCAATCCAAGGCTTGGTCTGGTCCAGCCTGTGTCAAATGCCACATTCTGGGATCTACTGTGAGTAAAAGCACTTTGAAATGGTGGGGCCACGCAGGAGCTCCAGCTTTCTTATTTATAGTGCTTCTCTTCTGTATCATCAGTCAGTCTCCCCAAGCATCTTCCCCTCCTCTTAGTCATTGCTTGCTCACTTTTGATGTTTTTTTTTTGCTGTGCACAAACATACCAGTCTGTTTAAAGAACAATTTGCGAAAGATTTTGACACCTGTATTCTAACCAGAACTCATTTTATGTGACAACGTGTCGATTAGCAGTTTGTTATTAATAAATGGTTCTAGTGCTAAAAGAGATTGGGATCATTTTATGTAAATATTTTTTAGTCTTTTATAGTCTGCTTTTTAATCTTTCCATATGTTACATCTGTAAAGAAAAATGTGGGGAAGCTGAATGCTTCTATTTTCTGAGTACTGTATATTTACTTCACAAATGTTGTTGCATGCTGTTCAGCTCTGTTGGATAGAAGCAATTAAGCAGACTAAGAATCTGGTGATTTTGTGCACATCAAATATATAAATGTTGAAAGTGATCTAAGCTGTTGCCACTTGATTTTTTATAACATGCTTGCTAAGTGACAGCATTAGTGCCTGTCCACAACTTTGTATTACATGTGTTACATAAGAGTGTGCCATTCTTTTGCCAGGCCAGAAGAAAAAACAAAAAAAGAGACAGAAACAGAGAATGAAAAATAAAAAAGGGAAAAAAATGGTATTGAAATTTGCACAGTGTCACATGAATCTTGAGATAATTAATTGGGAAATGTAATTAAATTAATATGAGTGGAAAATGAGTTAGACATGGAGAGGTGGAGAAGTCAGCATTGATGTGGCACTCTAGGTATTGTGCCTCATCACAGCATCCTGAATTTATGTAAAATTAATATAGCTTTCATGCTTTACTTTTTTCATGAAATTAATTACATATCCTTGCACTACTCAAGAGGAAATCAGATTTAATTAACAATAACTGCACTAAAGCATTATCAATTAAACAGAAAGTAGTAAGCAGGGAATAATGCTCATTAAGTTTTCCCAAGTGGGAGTAATGCAGATGTATTGTTTTAGCAAAGGAACAGAAAATAAAGGGTCCCTTTGAAAATCATGTGCTTGGTAATTAATAAAGCTAACTCTACAAAGTTCTTCATTCAGATTTATATAATTCAGAATGCAATTAATATGAATTGAAATAGTTGGGAAATATAGACTGTAGATTTATAAAATTAAAGAATTTTACCGGGTTGAGACTACAAATCTGTAAGTTGTACAGTAAGTAACCGTTAAAAAGGGCAACACATAAAACTCATAACCTCTGTTGCTGACTTTTTTTGCGTTAGACACTTACAAAATTCGTTTTACATTGAAATCTAGTCAATTTTCATGTAATTAAATAGGACAAATAGCATTCTGTTATTTCTATTATGGTTGAAGTCATTACTACCAAACAGGGTCGTAGTTTAGTGAAGGTGAGAATATAGAGTATTGTACCTTGGATCGTGAATGAAAAGTTAATCTTCAAACAGACTATTGTGCTGTCCTATTATACCGAGACTGATGCAGGGTCATTTTTTTGGAGTTCTTTCTGAATTCTGTCTGATTTCTGAACGGTGCCATACTCATTTGAAGACGATGCACAACCTATTGCATACAATCAATTATAATCGATTATCTATTTTCCTTTAATATTTGATTTTAGATCTTACTATAACTCCCAAAGTAAAATCCTAATTTTTCTGGGCAATTAATTTTAAAGCAATTTAACTGTATTAGTTGCTTTTGTCACTTTTGTTAACCTACTGTATGTTAATTGATATATCCGATTGTATCAGTTGCATTGTACTCGTTTGTATTGTGCTAAACCAAAATGTGGTCTGAATGCGATGTCTTTTCCCTGTGTGAAAAGGAAGGAGAAGTGGATTGCTGGCCATTCGCTTGCCCATCTCTTAATTGCGAGTATACGTCATTGTCAGAAGGCGAATGCTGTCCCCACTGCGTCAGTGATCCATGCCTCGCTGACAACATTGTCTACGACATCAGAAAAACCTGCTTGGATCACTATGGAATTACACGCCTCAGTGGTTCAATATGGACTATGGCTGGGTCACCCTGTACTACATGCAAATGCAAGGTACGGTGTAATATACATGTATAATAATTCAGTATTTGACAGTAGCATCAACGGTGCAGTGTTCCAATCTCTAAACTTAGAGTCCTCAATCTGGTATGTACCTTCTTTAAGAAGGATGTTAGGAAAACAGACTGCACCTGTCAGCCAGTTTGAAACAAATGTTGGTTAATTCTATGTATAATCAACTGGCCCCAACTGAGGTCTGTATTTCAGATGAGAAGAGGACAGTAGGGCTAAAAGATTTACAGTGCATAATTCAAATAAGATTTGGAAGATCTCCAGTGAAACTTTAATTAAAGTCAAATATATCATTGTCATGCAAGGTTTTTAAGTATTATGTAACCTTCTTTTTATAATGGCTAGACCTTTTTATATACCCCATAAAATTAAAGAAACGCCTTTGAAAATAGAGCAGCATAGTAATACCAGCACTTAAAAAGAAGCCAAAGGTAAAAGCAATCCGTCCTTAACATGCATTAATAATATGGATAACTTTCAATAACTTCAAAGCTACCATTAATACCATATTTTAACATGTTTCCCCCACAGCCTGAAAAAGCATTTCTATGTTTTATGCCTTTTCTTCTTTTCTCCTTCAGAATGGAAACATCTGCTGTTCAGTGGATTTAGAATGCCTCCAGAATAACTAGAAACAGCTCATTCGGAGAAACTTCCACTTATGAACTGAAAGGATCGCCTGGTTTAAAGTTCCAAATTTTCATTTTTTATGCACCTGACAGTTGCCAAAGTCTCCACATGAGGAAGATGGCTGGAACTTCAGCTTCAAAGGAACCATAGTAATTCCCTTGGCTGTTGTCTTTGAAAGACTCTTGAATCCTAGTTGGATGGAATATGTTATTCTTAATTGTGGAAATCATGTGTGATTCCATTCTTGACAATTCCAATGCTGTTAAATGTGTTGTGTTTTGGGGTTTTTGTCCATTATCCGAGTAAAATCAAAAACACAAAGGAGCAAAGTTAGAACATTTTGTCTCTGCCAGTGTAAAGCTATATATAGAAACATTCAAATATTTTTGTTGCTTTTTTCAATGGCTAAACACATACATATTTTCAATTTCACAGTCTGCTACTTGACCAATCAAATATATTATATTTTGCTGTGATGAGTTAATGCATATTCATCAATATTGGCCTCAAGTATGCAGTATCACTTTACCTAACTGCATATTTGAAGTTCCATTATGGTGATCACAAGAAAGCACTTCCATTTCATGTAAGTCTCATGTTATGGTTTTAAATTTAGGACATAAAATGCACTCCATGTGTTGGTAAAGATTTCCATGCACTCAGACTCATTTTTGCAATTAGGCATTTGCTTTGAAAGGCAAGGAACATCCTATTTTCTTCAAATAAAACAAAACATTTTATTAAACTATAGTGATAATAAGGCATGTTCAAGAAGACAAACTGTAATCTGACAAAGTTCAGATTATATAATGTACTGCACTGTACATGAACACAGGATCTTACCCAGTCTCTGCTAACTGTTTTCAATCACAACATGAAGACTTTTCTTAATTGGATTGCTAATTCTTTAGTCTGTGAAAAGACAGGACCACTTGCTTTTTAGTGTATTTATATTTCTTCAATTATAGTAGTTTGACAAACAAATACAATTAAAGAACTGTATAAATAGAGGCTTATATGCCAAAGTTCAGTAAGTTCAGTCTTATTTGGTTATTACTCTGCTTGTTAGGGAACTATATATTTGATGTGGCTTCTGCATTTTCCCCTTCACAGGATGTTCATCAGTTTCTTTCACTGAGTCATAGCTTAGCCCTCTATATAACATTAAGTGGTAAGTGACAGATTTTTAACACTACCACTATCCACTGTTGTTCACAGCACTCTTACTGCAAACATTGCAAAATATCTAATCACCTCAACCTCAAAGTGCTACAAACTGTCCTGTGTTACCATTAAATGCAGGCTGTATAACCCAATATGCATTATTTGATGCAGTGTTTAAATGATAATTAGAAAAATCTCTTACTCACGTATACTATTTCTGGTGTGGTACAGTATATCATTTTGAACATTAATTTTAAAAATTACACGATTAATAATGGTGACTAGATTGGTATATGTTGTTAAAATATTTCAAAAGTCTTGGAAAATACCAGTTGTCACATTTCTAGGATTTGTCTTACATAACATGGTGTTATGTATATAAGGTAACAAGGTACAAGGTAAACATACAATTCTAATTCCATTCTTCAAAATATTTCATGGAGACAGTGGTAGCATTTGATACATGTTTTTAAAAGGTGTAGTTTACTGTGTTATTATTTTAACTGAAAGCAGTACAAAATAACTAAAAAAATCTACCCAATATTGTCATTTGTTAATGAGGAGCCCAAATCTGAGTAATCTAGGCTCTTACATTTCATACACAATTGGGCAGATTCAGTAGACTGTATGATAACAGCCCATGCCTTACTGCAGTTACAGTATATATAATTGTTCTATATGCATTGTTCTCTGTATATTTTCAATAACATTGAAATTGTCTCCTAGGTCTTGTACCTTGAATTGTTTCTTTCGGTCTGTAATAAGTTTTTATTTATTCCAGTTGTCTCTGTGTTAAGATATGCCTAAACAAAATCTTCACCATACCTGAGATAAGCTACAGTAAGTCAGTAATAAAGTTAACTGCATAGATCAGTTAACCACATAGTTAATTGATCAGGATACAGGCTTAATGTGAACCATCAAATAAACTATTACAAAATCCTACAGTATGTATTTTTACGTGGCATTACCCTAAGAAAATTATCCATAAAGAGATGTAATCTTATCAGAACATAGGCATACAAATTCCTAATTTATTTAAAAGGGAAAGTAATACAACCTTTTTTTTAATCCCTGTGTAAATGTCACTGTAACATATTGAAACCATTTAGATGATAATCAGTTTTCTAATTTATGTGCTTTGAAATTTAGTTAAATATTTTGTTTAATGTAAATACTATATAAAGCTGGGGACTGCATAAAGTCTAGAAATATGGGCATAAATCTGAAAATTATATACTGATGCACAAGAGAAATACATGCAACACTAAGACCCAAAGGATTTAATCCTATTTTAAATGGATATAAGAATCCCAGAAAATGTGAAGAAAAATGCTTATCACATCAAATTTGACATGGCCAAAATGAAAACATTAAAAATAAAGATTTGGACTGATTTTTCTTAAGCATTTATACAATTCTGGCCAAGGTGATATGTTTGTCATGCTGTATGTTTGGCCTAATGTTTGTCCTGCTGAAAAATCCCATTTAGATTTTAAGGAACGGAAAAACTTTCTCTTCAAAAAGTTCCTCTATGAATCCCTGAGCTGTAAAGCTGCCCTCAATCCACCACTAAAGGTCAAATCTTGTGTTGAAGGAGATTCCTCCCCACATCATCATACTTGCACTGTGCCACCAGCTGGCATGAACAATGCAACTGTCAGCATAACAATCACCACAGTGTCTCCGAACTCGTGATCGTCCATCAGGTCCGCCAAGGGCAAAGCGGAATTTATTGGCGAATAAAACATTCCACTGCTCTCTCAGTTGTCAGTATTACCCCTAAATGGCCTCCGCACATACAACTCATTTTAATGCAGATGGCAAGCTGTACAGTAGTTGCTCTGCTGATATGTGGGTTGTTTCTTACTGATATTTCCTCTGCTTTGGCACATTTAGTTGGCTGTCCTGAACCAGTGTGGTGAGCCTTTGCCTTCCAGGACAGAGCAAGTTTGACTAAATTGTCTGGACTAGTCAGTTAATTTTGTGAAACAGAACACGACATTCTTCAGGCAGGTACTCTTATACACAGGTCACCTTAAATCATGCTGATAGCAACCTCACAATCTTTGTTTTTCACGTGGGTATCTTTACTGTTCTTTCAATTAATTAATTACAATTATGTGGATCCAGCATTTTTAGGAAATAGCATGCCTAGAGATCATTATTCTGTTATCCCATGAAACCATACTACTCATCAACACATCAAATCTGTTCACTTGAGGAAGTAAATACATCTGTGCCCAACAAGTTGTTGATGAACTTATGATGGTTGCATTTTCGTTTTGCATCAGTATACATTCTTAGGTCCTTAGCTACTGTACTTAATCGTGGAAAGGGTAATTTATATTTTTCATTACAACAAGAAAGGTGTCTTCATTTTTTTGTTATTGTTGCCTTAACCCTTTCAGTATTGTCTAGTTTAAACAATCCTCATGTTCATGTTCAAACTTTAAGTAAAAGTATTTTAATAAATAAGGGGTAAACAACTTCAAAATTAAGAATCCTTGCCCAAAATAATATTTAATGGTTAAAATGGAGTTTGGAAACGACAACTGCAATGTTCAAAGACATACTCTAATCATAGGGTTAATGAACTTTAGCCAGTTTCTTTGGAATATCTTCAAAAATAATATTAAATGAGAATCATCATATGATCAAGTGTATTTGCAAATAGAAAATGCAAATCAGCCCTAATATAAAGCTTATATTTGATTTATGCCTACTGAAAACATCCTTAGAAATCTGTGGCATGTGGCAGTATATCTTTTCCTAATGACAAGGCATCATTCATGTCCTTGATTCTCTCAGTAAAGTTGAAGCTCAAAAGCTTATACATGTATAAATCTGCCATCAATTCCTTTTTATGCAGTTCTGACATTCTGCTCAAGATCTATGTACTGTACAAGTTCATACAGTATATGAAATTCAAAGAAAATACATAAGTACAGTATGAAACCTAACCTGGCTTGGTTTAACCTTTTACTGGCTTCATTGGTTATCTTGATGGGAGACTATTCGGTGTCCTTTAGAATTATTTTTAATTTTAAGTCCCCTGCTTTAAAGAGAAAAATTCTATTTATGCTCTTAAGTTAAGATGTTTACTAGCAGGATGCAATTTTGTTTTCTTTTTTGTGACCAGTTCCAAAATGCATCACATCTTTGTACTTTAAGGGTTAAGTGTCAGCTGAACTGAAGACTTGTGTCGTGATAAAGAGTTCTCTGTAAATTCTTCAGTTAATAAATATTTTAGTTGTTTACTTAATAACATTGATGTTATTTTCAGTCTCTGCAACATTTTTGTGCTTATACAGATTTAAATTTTAAAGCTAATTTTGCACTAATATTGCTGGGGGATAAATAACAGTTGGGATTTGTATGCACACTTTTCATATACAGTATGTGCTGAACCAAAAAACATTTTATAGCATGTAAAATGGATTAAGCATCTGGTTTTTAAGGGATTCAAAGTGTCTAGGCTTTGCAGTTTCTAAATTGTGCAATATGAGTACCATTCACTGTCTGAATTAGAAGTTTTGAAATGTGTACTCCCAGTATGTTCACAATATCATAAAGCATAACACAAAGAACTCTTTCCATTTTAAACTATTTTTGCATTTTTCAGTTAAAAATTATTACCTCTTCCTTTGTGCGGTGTGTGCTGTGATTTTATTATAATTACCTATAATTAATATGGATTAAAGTGTTATTTTGCATTACACTTACACAGCCAATCTCACCATAATATAACATACAGTATGCAGCTGTATTGCCATAAACAACAGAAGTCATTCTCAAATAAGCATGTATCTTTTGATCATATAACCCAAAGATTTATTTCAAAGCAGGTCTGTACAAGATCAAAAGACACGTGTTTATAGCCACTAAACAAAACTACTGTAAGCACCACAGAAAAAGTCAATCAAAAGGTATGTGCTGCCTACAACATCACTGCTTTACATACAAGGAAAAGAGATGTCATTGCAAAAGTCTGGAAACACAAGAATGACAACCCCTCCACAAAGCAGATGATGGGGGATGGAGGTTCCCTTCACAAAAAAAGCACTTCTTCCATCTTTTCTTTGTTCTTTTTTAATTTAAATCAAATGGATGCCCATGCAGAAAGCCTAGTTTCAATATTTTACTATATATAAAACAATATTAAACTAGGTATACTTTTAAATATAAAGGTATACACTATCATACAGTATTTACATTTCCCACCCATTTTTGTGCAAATTACTTGGAAAAACTAATATATACAGTACACCCATATATGCAAGAAAAAAAAAGTAAAGATAGGAGTGAAACATTTCTTTTCCCCAATTCTAATCCTGCCCAAAAACACAGCCATGCTATCAAAATTTGTCTACGTTATGTGGAATCCTAACCCTAACCCTAGCTCGGCATTTTGCATAGGTTCGGGATAAGGCTTTGATCAAAGAGTTTACACAATCCTTCACTCATTTCAGTAGAAAATATACTTTAAAGAATCAAATATTAGTCTGAAATGA